TTACTTGAAAAAGCTTCGCACCCTGCAACAGCCTGAGTTCACACTGGGGGTGTGTGTGCGAATGCACAAGCCAGGGGATAAAGAGGACAGGAGAAATTACTGCCAGAGTTAATAGGAACATGGAAGTACGCCTTCCTCTGTACAACTCTTCTCACCTTATCTTTAAATTCTGGTCTAGAGAGGACCTTCAAGGTACAAAAGGACATTACAAACCTAAGTCTATTTCTAATTATATAGGATATTAGCTGCAATTTTCTCCTCACCCAGGAACAGAAAGGAAATAAGGCATTACTTAAATCTCCATATGTTATCACACTATCTGTTTTACAGCAGATTTACAAAGAAGATCATGCAATATACTAAACACTATTTTAAAAATTGTGGGGTTTGGGGTTTTTTTCCACAAAACGTGTTTTGGGGCACTGACTCTAAGAGTTCGCTTTCAGAACAACACTTGGAACATACACAAAAACTTATTAAACCTCATCTTAAGAATAACATGCTAATATAATATCCAAAGGGGGATCACATTTCACACTTCAAAAAGGGTACAACTGAACTGAGTGTTCTCATTCTCTGCTGAAAACCCAACGCCAGTGACTCATCAAGCGGCATATGCTTTAACACAGTAGGATCACCAACTCTCCAGTCCAAGCATAAAAATTAAAACTTTATGAAGCATGAAGTAATTTTGTTGGCAGTTTTTCCCTTGACTCAGGAAATATTTGTGAATCTGCCATTTTATGGTTAGGGATTTTCACAATTTCTTTTTCTTCTTTTTGCAGGGAGCAGTGAGAAGAAGAGAACATGAATGGCAGAAAACGGAAGACTTTTGAATTATTACTTGTGTCCATTTTCCAGAGGGATATATTTAATCCTATCAACTTTGTGATCCCAATGTTTTAACATAAATATGCTTAAGACACACAAGAATGATACAATCTTGTAGTAAGATTGTTATAAACAAATGTTTGGGGTTTAGTGTCGATCTCATTGAGCAGATTTTCTGTAATGCAAGAAATGCAGTTGCACAGGCTCAGTTCCTCATCAATCATTCTCTAATTTGTTGACAGCGGGGTTTGGGGAAAGAGGATAAATTTCTATCAAAGTGCAAAGCAATGTACAATTTGACCATTAAGTTCCCAAATTATGCAAGTCAACTTTTGTGGTTTTTTTTAAAAGACTGCATCTATGGTGCTCTTCCAAGCACCGTTAGGATAAATTTTAACTGCGTAATTGGTAAGAAGCACAGCTGAGGTCAATAGAAGTATCTGCTGAGTCAAAATTACTAAAACAATTCTCTGTGTGCTAAGTGGTAACATCCAGAAAATGCTGCTAGAAATAAGAACCTCATTTTAGCAAACAGTGTATACAAGACACAGAACTATTCATATATATGAGTACGTGTGTACATGTGTATATATATGTGCATTTTCTGATGACTAATACAAGTTACACAGAGTAACTGAGTTTTATGGGTGAATTCTGTAGATGTAAATTATGATTCTTCTAAACACCCTTTGGCTGCTCAACAGCTTCTGGTTTCAGTCACCAGAAAAATAAGCTAAGTAGACTACTGTTTTGATTGACAGGACAAGGTTTTCTTCAAAACAATGAGATTTCAAGAGGATTTCAAATCTCTGAGATTTGAAGTCAACAGTATTAATCAAAGTACAGTAATGGGGGGTAAAAAAAAAACCTAAAAAAAGAAATCAAAACAGAAAAAACCCTTCAAGGCACTGTAGGGGAAGAGGAAATAGGAATGTCTTGACCTACTCTCCTCCTCTTAATTCCCATAGATACATCTAAGTCATTGTGGCATCCAGTGTTATTCACTAGAGCATTTAAAGCCAGACAGAAACGTGCACTGGACCAAGCACGTGTGGAAACATAAAAAACTGGAAGAAGCAAACACTGCAGTACCTCAGATTTCTTTACACTTTCTATCGGCAGGAACTTGAGGAAAGCGTTAAACCTTGCACACAGAACTCTGGAACATACTAATAGAAGTCTTTAAATAACACCAGCTTTACCATTGTTAACCATTATTAGACTGCCTCTAGTAGTCTAGTTGCGTTCCAAATTTTATATTCCTCTTAAGGTCAAACTTCACTATGCTTCATTTTATTGTCAGATGAGGAACATACCCTTATATAGCTTTAACATGTTACTGGGACAATTAAGCATCATAAGAGAGAACAATTCTTGAAGGATTACAGGGCAAAGGTTTATCACCTACATTCACAGCACCGAGTAAGCTCTCTTTCCATATTTAATGGGATATCATGTCTTCACCTTCCTTGTAAGTACAGATATGGAATATTAATCAGACTAAACATAAAAAGAATCTTTTTTGATATATTATCATAACTTCATGAGAACTGATCACCAATCAAACTGACCAGCATCCATGCAGCTAATAAATTCCAGGTCAGTTCAGAATGACAGTACTGTAACAATGTAAAGCACGATTCACAGATGTCAACAAATAAAACAGTATTTAATTCTCTATGCAGGAGTAGGAAGTTGAAAATAGGCCATCAGCTGATTAGTAGAGCCTGTGCTTTCCTCTGGAAAACTTGTTATGACATGCAGCTGCCAAGAGATTAAACCGAATCCAGGGCTTTCAGAGATACTAGGGAGAATACTTTTTTCCTGCAGACTACGTAGCTTTTACAGTCGCTATATTAATCTTGCAGCCTAGGTACTACTTAGATATACCAAGTGAGTACCACCTTCTTACTTTCCAGGCAGCGTTTCTTTACAAACTATCCTGTACCAAACAGCTGAAGCAGGAGTGAAAGGAACTGGAAGGACAGAAGTAAAACTTTTCAGACCCAGCTTAATCCATCATGCAAAAAAGGTTCTTGAATTATTATGCAGGAGGCTCAAAAACAGTTTGATATTTCTCTTCTAGCATTTACAAGGTGCTAAATTAGTTTGTGTTTACTTTGCAGTTTAATTAGCCACAGAAACTACACAGGGATTGATCTCAATTTTTTGTGAAGACAGTTCTGTCAGGCAAAACCTGAAATCTGCTCTAGCTGAATTCTTACCAATCCCATGCATTAGGCAAGCTTTACCTGGTGAAGGCTACTGGGAAAAAAAGTAACTTTTTAAAAAATTTAATCTGACTTCTGTCTTAGTAAGTTATACCATTTGGTTAGAAAAGTATTGGACTGTATTTAACTGTGGCAGGTACTGTCCAGATTTCACTCTGAGCGCCAAACACTCTATTTCACGGACTGTTTGCTTAACGAGGCATGCATCTGAACGGTTAAATTAATATTACTTTCATAGCCCAATGCTTCCTAAGCTTGTTTCATTACAGATTGTACATGTGCTGAATTCTTGTCTAATGACCATGTAACAGGGCACGTTCAATTATTCTCTTTGGGTTTTAGAAAGAAACAGGAAGTTTGGCTATAAACAATGCAGTCATAGAATAAATTTCACCACAGCAAGTTCATCTGAAAAATATGCATTCTTTAGAACACAGCCAGGAATGGCATTATGAGAACCAACATCCTGCTGCACTCAGGTTTTTACTTTTTTATATATATTTTTATTAGTACTTAGGCAATATAAGAAAAAAATATTTTAGTTAATACTGGATGTTTTGTGATGAGCATTACTTGAAAGATGTGGATAGTGAATCAAAAGCAGCTGCTAGAAACCACGCAACAAATAAAAAGTTTGCTAAATTTAGTGTATGTTATGAAATACCTAGAGTGGAGGAAGAATCAGCCATTGTAAATTTTTATCAGCTGGAAAAGAGTTACTAAAGAATATTTCACTCTTTACTTATAAAATGAAGGAAAGATGACAGACATTAAAGGGGTTTTTATAGGAAGATGTCAGCTCATCTAAAATCTAAGACATCTAATTTTTGGTTACATTTCTGCTTTAGGTCCTTTTAATAATCCACAAAATTTTTCACCTAAACTTCAGTGTTAATGAAGTAAGAACTATTATTCTCTGGCTTCCAACTCTGTCTCAAAAAAGCACAATATTGTTATTACTGCATCTTTTAATTATTCTACAAATAGGGTAACATTTCAACCCCAGTATTAAACAAACATCGCAAACTTGGATTATCAGAAGCATTTTCTTAAAATAATCAACAATGTTACAGTTCCTCACTAAAGGGCAGTTTACTTAAACATCTATTTAATCTTAACTAATTTTAATACGCTTAATGCCAAGATTTTACTTATAGTTTTCATGTGGAAATAAAATATTTCAAAACAAAACAATGACAGTCTGCAATTATAGATTGGATTAGGTTTTCCCTAGATTCTAGCTGCTAAAGATTCCAAGTATTATGTCATAGCAGAGATTCTGTGAAGTACTTTACATGAAACAGAAAACTAAATGTCTATTTTTGAAAGACTGAGGTTGCCCAAAAATAATTAAATACATGCTTAAAACCTAATACTGCCAAGTAGCTGACACCCAAACTCTGACCTACCTAAAAACTGAAGAATTATTGTATCAGTTTTGAAATCTTGCCATTTACACCCGCACAATTCCTGTTAATAAATGCACTTAAAGAAATATGTATATACATTAGAGCACAGCGGCATTTGTGCTGTGCTGGCCTGATGGAATTTGCCAGCAGAGGGAGCAGAAGTTAATAAACGTTTTTCCTAGAGCAAAGATGCAAATCATTCATGCTATGTCAAACACGGAAGTAAATGAAGGGAACACCATATTGTCTGTCCTGTTAAAAAAAACATATGGCGGAGAAAAAGACATTCAATGAAATGGTTTTGGCTCTTTTTTGTTGTTGTTTTTTTCCAAAGCAGATAAAAGAAACACAAACCACGAACAAGTACATGAACCTTTACCTTTGCACAAAAATACATGCACTTCTGTATGACAGAAAAATACATCCTTACCAGGAGCAGCAGAATATTTCCTAAAATTGTCCTCTATAAAATTAATCTATTGTTTATAGACACATTTTCCTGTGTTTTTACTTATTGTAAAGTTTTTACCTGCAGGTTAATCTCTGCTTCATAGAAAGTCAGACAGGAACAGTAGTGCCTCTCAGAGTCTATATCAGTCAAAACCACAACAAAGAACGTTGGCTGTTTTCTCTCCTTTGAAAGCTGCCATCCTCCAGGCTGGCAAAACTAATGGAACAAAAAAAAAGTGAGACATATAGTTAAGCGGTAGGATCAATTGTTTTAAGAAATACAAAGAAAGAACAGAACATTATCAGAAACAAGGCACTCATTTCATTTGAAGGGAACATATGCAGGGTTGCAAAATGTGGAGACAATAGGAAAAACCCCGTAGGTCATGGAGTTAGTCAGAGTGATACAAATCAAGCTTTACAGATATCAAGCGAGATATAACAAACTTGACAAAGTGAAGATATCTTCCTTTGAATTCAGTATTGGACACGATTTTTGCAGGGTTTCACAGGCAACAGCATAAGCAGATTGACACATTACGTAGGTTTCACTTGTATAACAAGTTACAATTTGAAGCTACAGTTGTCGTGTCTATAGATTTTTATATTCTCCACTTATTTCTCCATGAATTTATCTAGTCAAATACCAATACTCGCATCTACTTGCAAAATTATTCAATACTTCCTCCTACAAAGGACTATTTCTAGAGCAATATTTTTCATCCATTCGTTGATTATCTCTATAAACTTCATTGTGAATATTTGAAAGAGGTGATAATAGAGTAAGGATAGCAGTTTTGCACCCCTAGGAAAAAACTTGTTCAAGCTTCGTGACATGGTAAGTTTCAGGACCAAGGAAAATCACTTGCTTCTCAGACTCAGAGGCTGCAGTTCCCCACATACTTCATACGTACGTAGAACACCACATTTCCAAAATTCACAGCAACATTGTTATTCGCAAAATTCTAAATTTAGAATTTACACAGGGTGAAGGTAATAGTCCCTGTATGCTTTAGGAATCAATTAAACAAGTAAGTGTACAGAATTGTTAAACAATGCAGATACCACAGGACCCAGAGAGATAGGTCAAAATCTCATGTTTCCAGCAATTGCTTCTTACCCCTGGCCAGCTGTTAAAAAGTGAAAGAACATGAAGAGTAAACTGTAAACAAACATTTACTGCAGATTCATCTTTAGAATCTCTACAATAAAACCTGGGTAGTCTTAGGTGAATGGCAGTTAAAACTCTGCCTCTGATACACAGTTTATTTTATGATCCTGGGAAAATCTTCAAAACCAAAGTTTTCTCATGTTACATTCTTCAGATTGTAGATAGTCAGCTTAACACTTCTGAGTCTGTATCCTCAGAAGTGTTAAGCACCCCCATCGGCATCTGAGAACAACCGCTCCAAACATCAAAAAGTCCTCTCAGAAAAGACGTCCTAGTCATTCCACGCTAAGCATCCAGTATTAATCCACGATTTGATAATACTGGCCTAATCTTCCTTTGTTTTTCATCCCATGTCAGTTAAAAGTAAGAAGACACCACAATTAATCTTGCAGGACTGCTGTAAAGATAATGTAATATGGTCAATATATACAGACATTATAACAAAAGCACTATTAAAGAGTTTGACAACAAAATCATGAGAGTTCTGTACGAACTGCAGATTTTAGGTGGTGCATGGTAGATGAAGCCTGGAATTTGTAACTGAAGATAAAAACTCCAAAACTCTGAATAACTTCTTTTTCAACCATATGAGCCAAAATGCAAAGAATGCAGCAAGATTCTGTAAATAAACAAAACCTTTCTATTCTATACCATCGGCACCCATACAAGGTAGGTCGCATTAAGCTTGCTCATGCAGTCCTAGCTCTAGCACTTCTCAGCTCTGAACATCTGAGTTTACGATCCGAATACTCCTTCAGATCTGCCAAGTCTACCAGTTCCGACATGAGATCTTTGCTAGTGCCACTGCCCTTCAGCCTCACAGGTAATTTCCCATCTCACACACACCTGTAAGTAGCAAGCTATCAGATTTTTGAATGCCTGGAATTCCTGAACAAAGGACCATCCTGCATGCAGTGAGCATCTACAAAAGGTACAGAAGAGCTGGTAAAGCCAAATAACTCACAAACAACGTATTTTGCACCCCAGTGGCAAATACATGAGCTTGGGATGTGTGGCTTCTGCACAGTTGGTGTTCACACAATATGCAGAGAACCTAGCAACTTTGAACTTCGAGGTATTGGTAACTTCATCTTGAATGTTCTTTTGGGACTTATTTTCAAATAAGCTTCAAAATAAATAATTTTATTGTGATAAACCATTTTTAGCATAAAAAATACTGCATAAAAATTGATACCAACATCTACCCTGTAAACTGGGAGATGCAACGGGAAAACCAACAGCTAGATTTTTAACTATGCGAAATGACTGTTGGTATGGGCAGGCTGCTCTCAATACCAAATCTCTCAATTTTTATGCATGTCTGAACCCTAGTCATGTCTGTGAGAATTCCTCCCAATTTCAAAATGATCTTGTATATAACACATGCTTTCTAGATTTAACTGTTTTACTAGAAAACAACAATTAGTGATTGTTAATGAAAACAGCTGAAGTAGAGTACACTCATGGGCTACACAGAGAATCTGTGTTTTCAAATAAACTAGGAAGGAATTTATAAATATAGAGATTGAGGATAAAGACAACATGCCCCTCCAATAAATTAAACAATGAATGATTCTCCACTGCCTTAAAATAAGGTAATAAATATTAGTGCAATATTTGAAATGGAAACATCATCAAGAACAACTTTCCAAGTTAGTATAAATACAAGCTACTATCCAATACGATTACCAGCATAGTCTCACTACTAAGAACAGGAAAATGCTTCCTTACCAAACCAGATGCTATACCAAAACAGACGAAAACACGACTGTGAATGTAATTCAAAGGTCATGTGTTTCTTCAGTAAACAAGAAAAAAACCAGAAGTTTAGAAATGAACACACTCCCATATTGTTTCATTTATTTCTCAGAATTCCTGGAACCAGAAGATAGCTTCTATCAAACACTGAAAACTAGAAAGAATCAGATTATCCAACTCACTACGTATAGAAACAAGCTTCTAATGGTGATGAGTGCTTCAAATCAACCGTTTGCCTTCTAAAACCTGGCATAAACATCCAGAAGTTGCACTGAAGAATATGAAACAGATCTTATATTCAAGGTGCTGAAATGACATTTCAAGCATTGTTTGAAACTGGAGGTGCTTACTGAAGCAAAGAACTTTCTCTTAATTATTTCCACAAATGCTTGCAGACTGAACAAGAAAACAGCTTTACAAATTACACATACTGTTCTAAAACAGTGTAGCTGGGTTTGTGACCTTTAAAAATAGTGTCATCACCCCAAGCCTTCTCCCTAAAGCTTAGATGTGGATTAATGAATGTTTAAAAGCAACACATTTCTTCTAGTTTCTATACTGCAAAAACATTAACATTGCTTGATTCATAAACTTATTTCTTCTTTGCCACCTAGAGCCATAGCTGTACTTTTGCTCCTAGAGCCATAGCTGTACTTTTGCTACCTAGAGCCATAGCTGTACTTGGGCTTCTCTATTAAGATTAATCATTTGCATAAATCAGCATATACCTCAGAAGACATACTGTCTACAGCTTTAGTGGTTAGAATCACTAATCCATAGACTATCCTGAACAGGAAGGGACCAATAAGGATCAAGTCCAGCTTGTGACTCCACACTGGGCAACCTCAGTTAAATCACGTGTATAAGAGCATTGCACAAACGCTTCTTCAACACCAACAGGCTTAAGGCCATGACCACTTCCCTGGGGAGCACTCTGAAGTCTGCTGAAAAATTGAAGAAAATGTAAAAACAATCACAATTTCTATTCAAGCACTGGAGAAAGAAGGCTTACTGAATACTGTGGAAGTGAAGACTAAATACTATTATTATATTTAACAGTAATAAGATGGTGTTCGAGTTCCATTACCATTACCAGTTGATATTGATTAAGGGAGTGAAACATCTCCCTTATGAGGAAAGGCTGAAGGAGCTGGGTCTCTTTAGCTTGGAGAAGAGGAGGCTGAGGGGTGACCTCATAAATGTTTATAAATACATCAAGGGGGAGTGTCAGGAGGACAGAGCCAGGGGCAATGGGTACAAGCTGGAATATAGGAGGTTCCACCAAAATATCAGAAAAAACTTTTCCACTGTGAGGGTGACAGAGCCCTGGCACAGGCTGCCCAGGGAGCTGTGGAGTCTCCTCCTTTGGAGACATTCAAAACCCATCTGGACGTGACCTGTTGTAGGTGATCCTGCTCTGGCAGGGCGCTGGACTAGATGATCTTTTGAGGTCCCTTCCAAACCCTAACATTCTGTGATTCTGTGAGCTGAAAGAGAAGAGGCCAAAATGAATTTAGAATTTAAAACAAGAGACAGCCACCTTCCTTTCTAGTTGAATCTATCACCAAACACTTCATTCTCCCTTGGATCACTCTGGGCATAAAGTTTCATTTTACTGAGTCTGCTTCTGTAGGCTTTATTGTACTTTTCAAATAGCTTTGCTTTGTTTTTAATATCTATCATTATCATCTTTCCTACAAACCTCCCTGAAAACAGAGAGCCATGTTCTGGACATTGTGTGAAGGAAGTTTGTTCCATCTGGACTTGCATGACCTAGCACCAGCTGCTGAGTATTTCACCATTTCACCATTCACTTATGTACGGAATTTTGGCAAAGGGAATTCTCTTTTTCAGATGCATACCTCTACTTAAAACTAAACAAAATAATTACAATGCTCACTGGCATAATAAAAAGGCAGTGTTATGAAGCTGTAAATATGAGGAAATGCTTGGAGTTTTGGGGATATCTCTGAATGTAAACAGAAAACAAAATACACACTGAATTTTATAACAGCTTCCTGCCTCTCAACATCTCGTATCAAAGAAATGGTGTATTTTTATTTAGCCTAGTCTAAAAAAAACCCAGTATTCCAAACTGCTTCCAGGTAAGAGCCCATTTCAAGTGATGTTCAAAAACTCTGGTGACCCACTGCAAACAATTCAGCTCACTCATAAAGATCAAAAATAGCTTTTAACCATAAAAGAAATATAAAGGCCTTTTCTACCCGGGAATGAACTGAAATACAGACCTCCTCAAAATGAACCTTTACACAGTCACCTCG